GAAACAAAGATACCAATTAGTATGACTTTTAGATTTTTCAATGAAATATCTTTTATTGTATAATTTCAATTTATTGTTGTATATACTAGTGCGTCAATGTTTTGATAAATATTCTGCGAAAAAAAAACGAGAATGAGTAACTACTTGAGTACTCATATGTTTGCCTATGAGTAAGTCTCTAAAGAAAAAGTTGTACAAGTATGCATCACAACACACGAAGAATGTGTATATATAAAATACTAGTCTGAATAAAAATGACTAGTCAAGCTGGAAAGTCGTATTCGTTTGATTTTACTTTGCCTAGGATTGTCTTAATGAGAAAAAAAAGAAAACATTTCATCATGTCTATAAAATAAGTGTTTCACTGTATGAACAAGATCCATCTTTCGCCGACTTTGAGAGCAGCTGGCGATCAACATTTTTGAAAACCCTGTATTTATTCTTGGGATTGTTCAAATAGTCCTAGCATTAATCATAATCATCCTTGAAATAGCATCATTAGCTATCTATAACTATTAACTGACAGGCGCTCGGCATCTGATGCTCCATTTCATTCATGATAGCGGCCATTTTAACTATCCTATTAGGTAAGTATATTTAAAAACAATATCTTTTAAAAAAAGCATAAGATATGAATTGATTGATATGATTTATTTCAGTATGGAAATAGAATCGATCAAGACTTTGGGCTACAGGAGTTTTTATTGCTCAAATATTTCTTCTTTTGTTCACATTCATTCTGATAGGTATTAACGGTAACTTCGTTTCATCGTACAGCATCGGTTACTCTATAATCAGTATCCCAGATCAAGACACACCGCAATCATATCAAAATTTTAAGACAAAGTATCAAATAATGCAAAGCTTACTTGGCATTAGCAATTCTTTTAATGTCCACTGGACTTACCTATCTAATTTTTTACATGACTGTCACCTATTTAGCTGTCTGGAAACCCGTTTAACATTCTTGATACATCTCATCTCTTCCGAAAATGAAATGATGTATAACATGTCATGAACTTCATGTTAAGATTATTTCAAATAAATATTTTGTTAATCACCAACTTTTTTTTACACGAAGACTTCGGTTCAGATGTGAGTGTGGATAGGCATAGATCTACAGGATACGAATGGTGTAGTTTTGAACCAAGACAAGACACACCCTCTCTTAACTCATTCTCTTGGAGTTTTTAAAGTGTTCTTATTGATGTAATTACAAGTCTGTGAGTTGTGTAGTGGGCAGATTACATAACCAAGCAGCAAAATCTTTTTTTTGATTTGAGCTCTCATTTATTGAATATTATGACATCCCATCAAGTTGCATAATATCTCATAAAATAGTCAATAAAATGTGTTACAAAGCCAATATTCTCTAATATGGTATAGATGTGATTCATTGTGTGTGTCATACTCTGCGTTGCAGTTTATCGTCATCGTTGGAATAAAGATGAGACAGAGGCCCATATCCTTTTAATAAAATATTATTTTAAGCGAGAATGCCACAAGATTGTCAAAACAACGCATGAATGGATAAAGAGAAAGCCGTCGCACACCTTCACTTCGTAAACGTAGTGTGTGAATGTGGACGTTACTCTTCTTGTTACGCATCCACATCCAATGCAGACGTTCAATATATTGTCTGGTTTTATCCAAGAAAAACACGACAACATTGATTTTACAATGACATTAGATCTTTCATTGATGACACATGTTCTATTACTCGGAGAACTTCGTAGCTTGATTTGAATAGGTGCGATTCGTCATACGTATAAAATCAATGAGAAGTAAATAATGTACATAGGATTGTTTTGTTCTCGACATTGAGTTACGACAACAAATCATTTGCTCAGTTAAGTATGCGTTGACAATGTTTTCTACTTCATTCACATGTGTAGTACGATATTAAACGCAAAATCGAAAGCAATAAGTTTGCTTTGATAAATACATTTCTGTTGAATGTCGCCCGATACAATCGTTTCATTTTGAGATGAAATTGAACAATGATTAAAAATATTGTAATAATTAGTGCCAAATAACTTTTTTTAATATTTATTCTTCTAAATTTCAGATTTTCTGAAGTTATCCTGAACATCTGCTGAATCTTGTGCTTCATCAGCGAAGAATTTCTGATCTGTTAGCTTTTGATCAACATATATGTATTTGATCCAGCGCTGAAACTGCGGTTAACGCCCATTGTCGTATTGATTACAAAGAATCCGTGTTTAGTCCTTATTTGTGTAAAACTTTATAATAAGATTAACAGAATAAAATGGCGAGATTACCGAGACTTTGCTTTTGATATATTCCAATTCTAATCTAATTTTCATAAGTTTTACTAAAAAAATATCGTCTGAATATCTTAAAAATAATATTTTTAGAGAGAACTCGACGAGCATTATCCAAACATGGCAAAAAAAAAATTTGCCTAATTTTCGAATAATTAGTATCTCACTTTTTTATTATTATTTTATATTTTTACCTTTTTTTTTTATTGTTTATATTAATAGTTTCCTTTTCTATACTTATGATATTATTATTTTTTTTAATTTATAATGCACCATTTTTGATGAAAGGTTTCTATTTATTCTTGAAACACTAGGGTTATTGAAGCATCTTTTTCTTTATTGTATTCAATAAAAATAGACAAAAATCGAAAAATCAAATTTTTTGTCATTATACTGAATTGTTGTTTCAAAAACAAAAAACGAAACTTGCTGAAATTTTTATCTTCTATTTTAAACTTTCAGTTTCTTCTTGTCTTCCGAATACTTCGAAATATTGTTTTATCGATTATTCAAATAAAATTTTCTAATAATGGTCAATAGATCAATGAATTTTACATAACTTTTACCGAATTATAAAAGAAAATATTCAAACTATTCAGAAACAAGGATTGGAATTTTCATACTATTTTCAGTTACACAAAAATAAAACTGAAACCACGTTCCATTGAAGAAATCATAGTTCTGTAGTAAAACGATAGTTCATTAACTTGATATGAATCAATAATAATCTTTAGCTCTTTGAGGAAAGAAGCTTGCTGATTCATTGGATCAGTTAGAAAAATCAAAAAAAAAATAATTGTAACAAGTTTTCTATTTAATTATTTTCATCGAAAATAAAAATTTATGAACAATCATGATAAAAATAAAATATTTGGTTAATTTTGAATTTACTGCTTAAAACTAAATTGTCATCATATGAGTTATATATCAAATTATTAATTGCTATAGTCACATGAATAGTTCAAATATTAGTTTGTCTATTTGTCTTTAATTATTTTTCAATAGAAGATTGGTGTGAAGTGTATGAATGGATAGGCTATGGTGATGTCATGGGTATGTAGTTTGAGTATAATTGTGAATGAAGATGTGTTTGCAGGAATGTGATTGTGATTGTGAGCGAGATAAGCATAAAGAGAAGTCCGAAATCTCATCTCATGCCCCGGTATATATATCGTACCGACATTCATACAGCATAATCTACTTTTACATACCATACAGATACTTACAGTCCTACATCCAACACTCTTAACAAAGTTGATATCGGATTTTGCCGACTAATCATATCTCACAAAAGACGATAGAATTCGGGATTAATTCAGGTACTTGGGTAGGAAATATCAGAACAATATGAAATCATTCTAGCAGTGATTTACAATAGAAATCTGAAAAGTTCAGAAGGAAACATGATTATCTACTTCTGCATTTTGTTCATATTTGAGATTGACAGAAAAAAATAAATAAATAAATAATCAAGTTGTAAAACTGTCCAAGTAATGTTACATAATGAAATTCTTTTGTATTATGCAGACTAAAATTCGAGTTTTTTTGTGACAGCTATTACATAGTATATGTGTCTCAAATTTTTGAATTCTGCACTTTGAAATATCTTCAATATTCTAGAACATCTAACGGATTTTGAATATTGGACAATATTCTCATGGCTTTTTCAAACCATCATAAATCATAATGTTTCGATATGAATTTTGAAACTATTTTATATTAAAACGAGTCCATAGGATTTCTGTGTTCTGAGGATATCATACGCAAGAAAGATCGCTTTTTCGTCCACTACTTTTGGATGATTTTCAATTTCAATACGATTTAGACTGTTTCCAGAAAACGAAAGAGATTCAATTGTTAAATAATGAAATCAGCTGATAAATAATGAAAGATACTATACATATTTTTTTTCTTTTTATAGTTTTCTTTTTTCTTGCTACTCGAAAACGTAACACGTGCACTAATTACTCATCCATTTTTTTCATCCTCTTCTGCTTCTAGCTAACGTATCGTATCGATTTTGCGGTAAGGAAACAAATTGTATTGATGGAAATCAATACGAAAGTAAACGAAGAGAACAACGATCACACATGATCAATATCACGATAGATTGTGAAGGAAAAAATAATATTTTATTTACCTTGAGCCTTCTCTTTACCTACTCTGTGTCTATTACGTTATTTTTCCTATATATATATATCATAGAGTTATTTCAATGTCTTCGCGTGCTGTTATGATCGACAGGCTTCAATGATCACTGTTGCAAGTTTCATCTTTTGCGCGTTTTTTTTCTTATATTTTGTTTTAACTCAATCGAAATAGAACGTACCGTTTCTCAACTATTTGATTTTTATCAAGGTTTACTCATTTTTCTTCTATATTATTGATAATCATCATAATGTTGAGTTTTAGTACAATTTAAAAACGATAGATTTTTTCTAAGTATTTCACTGTGGCAAACTACTTGGTCACTTGGTACATTTTTCTTCAACAGTCTATTTGATAAATTCTATCAATTATTTATTGATAATAAGGTTTTTTTTTTATTCTCGAAATGAAAATATAGATTTAGACATATAGCCAAGCTTTAATAATTTTATCAAGGTGAATTTTCAGGTATGAAATGGTCAAATTCAGCGTAGTTAATATCTTATACCAAGTTTTTGAGTGGTTTTCTTTTTTCGTCGTTTTATATTTTTAGAAACATTTTAGTTTATGACATCATCAATGGATACTAGTGAAGATTTAAACTTAGATAATGAAACAATATTTTCTGTACAATTTAAATCTTTATTCGATGATGATACCGCACGATTTTCTTCGGACACTAGTGATGAAATTATTCATGCATTATCAAAACTTCATTGGCTACCTTCTCCATATCATTTATCCCATCAAATTGTTTCATTAGTTTATGATCGATTGACTAAATTTGTAGAGAAACTTATTTTGACTGGTCATGCGTTATCGAATGATGAAATTATTCTAATGAACGAATGTCTTGATTTTATTATAAGAATATTTGAATCAGCGTATACAACATCTTTTGGTAATGAAGAAGAGGATAATGATACAAATGATGATATTAGTACTCCTGATGAGATAGTATTGAGTACACTAGAAAAATTATGTCAAGATATAGTTCCATTAAATGATTTATTTTTGAAATTAATTCAGTCCGCTGGTTGGAAAATAATGAAAAATCATTTAGAAATCATGAGTAAAATTGTTAGTTTTTTACTTAGACGTCATAAAATCAATATGATACAACTACAGTTTTCGAAAAATGTAGATTCATCATTAGAAAGATTTACTGAAGAAAATCAGCGTTTATTTGATACATTTGTTGAATGTATCAATTCATCGGATGGCATTTATGATTATTTAGAAGCTATAAATCAACTTGATTCAAAATCATTAGATGAACGTAGTAAATTTTTATTATTTGATAGTTTTAATTTTATTATAAGTAATGATCTTTATACAGAAGATTTTAGAACAAAATTTTGTCGTGATTTTTGGTTATTCAAATATAAACAAATACTAAAAGAAGTTTTACCAAACATAATAGAACAAGTCAATAAAACTTCTTTACCATTGAATGCAATCAAATATTTAATAACAAATTTAATTCAAATGCAACGAAAAGCTGGAAGTAATTCTATGTTTTCGAAAGGACAAATAGAAAATTTTGCATTGAAAGATGAATATTTACCAATAATTATGATGTTATTGCCTTGGTTTTCTAATTCATACATTCTTAAAAACCTCATGGAAAGTAATGATGATCTTGAGGAAAAAATTTTTCAACTGAATAAAAATTATTTAAATAATACTAAAGATAATGTTACTATCACATTCGTTACATGGACAATATTAAAGTTAATTCTAATGTTTATTAATGCAAATGGAGATTGTCTTGCTTATATTAAATATGATCAAAGTGTCAAAGAAATTTTATTAAAATTACTGAGTCAAATTAAAGAACGCACTTCAATAAAAGTATATATTTACAATATTTTGGGATTATTATTGAACGAAAAAGATATTCAAAATGAAACAAATATTACAAAAGAAATAATTATGACTTTAATAAGCTATATACGTAATATCCATGAAGAGATCACTGAAGATAACCTCTATTTAACAGACTTGTTGACTTTGTTGAGAACATTAAAAGGTATGTTTATTATATACATAAGCAAATAACCCGTTGGTTACTGATTGTTTGTAATCATATGAAGATATGTGCATATATGCAAAATTAAGACTACAAACTTCTTCAAAAAACAATATAATTCAAATGAATAAAACAAAAATTCAAATTACATTCTTTTTGTCAATCGAATTTTTTGCTGTCATTGATTCCATATGAAAAATTTTGACAATGAACTTTGATTGAAATGATCCAATTTTGATCGTGTTTCTTGATAAAAATTGTTTAAAATGAGTAGATTTGAAACTCATCATCTTTTCAATGAAGCAGCGCGAAAGTAATATCAGAAAAGTCAATATTATCACTCGATAATCCGATATTACATCAGTATGACAACCATGTGAATAGTATTTCAATGACTATTTTCGATTATTTCATCTAGGAAAGTGTGAAACTATAGACTGCCCTCCCCGACATTTGGAATAGTTTGTTCCAAAGAAAAAATCCATGGCAAGATACTTTATTTTCTTTGTACTTTTTTTACAGCATATCTGCAACATGATCAATTAAAAAGTGAATTCGTTCGACAACAAGGTTTAGGATTATTAATGGAGATAGCAATGAAAAAATCAAGATGGATAGATTTTGCTCTCGACATACAAGAGTATATGGGTGAAACAGTAGATATGGATGAATTATATAGTAGTAATGAATTACCAGAACAACTGCAAAAAATGTATGGAGCTAATATAAAAGCGACAGAAGAAGGACAACAACTGGCATTAGAATGTTTTTTTACAATTTCATTTGATAAGGAAGCAGCACTCTTGTTAAAAAATAATGACCGCTTTATGATTTATATTCAGCGTTTGGCTCAGGGTAAAATTAAAACAATGAATCTTGGTCTAAAGATAGCAGCAGATCGTGTTCTTTGGAAATTGAAAACAGAAAGTGAATTTAAAAAAGAACAACAAGAAAAAACGTCAATCGATAAAAACGAATTTGATTTAATGATTAGCTACAGCTGGGGTGATAAACCATTAGTACGTCAAATCTACAAATATTTAACGGAAAATTATAATTATCGAGTATGTTTAGATGAAAATGAAACGACTGATTCTTTATGTCGATCTATGGCACAGGCCGTTGAGAAGTCAACAGTTATTCTCATGTGTATATCTGAAACATATAAAAAAAGTGAAAATTGTCGTAATGAAGCTGAATATGCACGTGATAGAAAGAAGACAATTATTCCATTAAAAATGGCACAAGTTGAATTGGATGATTGGCTTGGATTTATTGCTGCCGGTAAAATGTATATTGATTTTAGCAGATCAGATTTTGAAAAGAGTATAACATTACTGAAAGCTGAAATCGAACGAAATAAAATGGCTAAAAACGATACTAAACAAATCGTCGCTAAAGTTGAAACGTAGTGTATTCCCATCATATTACTTTTTTTGATAAAGAAATATTTCATGCCATGATCTATTCTAGAATAAATTCTTTTGGATTGCAAACTGTAGTTGCACCATTATCATCGACTTCGAATCTGCTTGTTCGTCCGAATGTTATCCCTACGGACTATCAACAAATTCCTATGGAATTATGGTCTGAACAATATGTTCGGGATTTTATTTTTGATAAGAAATTGGATACAATGATTTTATTAACTGAAAATATGAATGGTAGTGAGCTCTATGAATTATGGGAATTATGTCAAATACCACAAGAGCGTTGGCCAATGTTTGATCGTTTGAGTAAAGAACTCGAACAAAGATATAAACAAACGTTGCCAATATCGGTCTATGTACGGTTTTTGCAACAAATATCAAAGCATTCAAATGTATCATCAGTTCTTTAAGTGCAAAGCACTATGTGTAGCTGACTTCTTAAATCTTATTAATATAACTATTTAAACTAATAAATAAATAGATACAGAAAAAACGTTCCATCTATCGGACAGTATATACCTAGAAGAACATTTCACGAGAGATTATTTGTACTCACACTCCTGTCAAGACAGTCCTTGACAAGTTACGTGAAGTATACGTATTAGAATTATAAATAATGCTAAAGCATTAGGCTTAACGGATAATGATAATGCTGATTTTCATGTGACATTCTTAAAAGCACTCAAAAAGACTCTTTACACTTTAATGCTTACTGACTTCGTCGTTTCAGGCACCAAGAAAAATGGGTGTGTGCCTTCTGTTCAACGTTGACATCCACAATCATGCCCACTCTTTGTATTTAATAACAGTTCGAGCAAACTATTTAAGATATTTGTAATCAGCATAAAAATATTCGGCCATTACAAAAATATTCATTTCAACATGTAAAAATGCGAAAGGAAGCATTGTTCTTGTTGCTGTCGAAAGGAGACGGAAATTATGGGATTTATTTCTTTCATAATGAAAGTATGAATCGACATAATGTAGCCAAGCAAATGACTCATGTTTTTGTTCCATTTACCATTCTCGAACTAATGTCCGTTTCAAAATAAGAGGCAGATTGCCATTTTTCGAATAAATTTTGATAGGAAAAAGATAGAGAACTCCAGTCTTCACCATTCGAAAGAGTAATGCCCAGGATATCGATTGATATAGAACTCATTAAGACGAAAGACGTTGTTTCATATGCATCTTTGGATAAACACGTTTCCTTCGAGTATTTTCATCCATTTTTACAATAGTAGCCAATAAAATTATGTCAAAATGTACCTCAAATCACGCTTTTTTCGCTATAATATTGACATTCGTTTCATTATCTCTCAGACTCTTATTCTAAGTCGTTTAAAAAAACAAGTGACAATTTTGTAGAGAAAAAAGCGTGTTTGAAGGTACATTTTGACATAATTTTATTGGCTAGCATTATAAAAATTGATGAAGATACTCGAAGAAAAAAGTGTTTATCCAAAGATGCCTACTAAACAATGTCTTTCGTCTTAACGAGTTCTATATTAATCGATAGCCCGAACATCGCTCTTTCAAATAGTGAAGACTAGAGCTCTCTATATTGTTCCTATCAAAAATTTATTCGAAAAATGGCAACCTGCCTTTTATTTTGAATCGGACATTAGTTACTCTTAACAAAAAAACTTTGAAAAACGTTTTTCGTATTCCCGGGAGGTGGAGAGGGTACGAGAGTCGAAAATCCAAAGATGATTTCAAGAAAAATGGTTATGCTTGATTTGTAATCCACACGAACCTGGTTACAAGTATATAAGTATTTCTGGAAAATATTTTGGCGAGAAAAGTGGCCTTATTAGCAGTTGTTCTTTTGAGCAAAGTGTGTCAAAATCATCCATATCTTCTACTTTTGAAAATATCAGCATATAAACTATCAAAATGCTATTGAGGTCTACCTAGAAGATAACTAGTATTTTTTGAAATTCTTTATCTCAACGCTGAAAATGTTCGTGTTTGTCAGAACTATAACGAAAGCGATTCCACACTGATCTATAAAATTCTGTTATTTTCTTGTGTAAACGCTAGTTTGTATAAAAATTGAGCATTTTTATCGATATGTATTTATTTATCTCTTGTTAAAATGAAATTGCTTCACTAGATCAATAGTTTATTGTCTTGAAAAATGTGTTTACTTGTTCAAGTTTACTCTTATTTGCGTTCATGTGCATCCTTACCTTGAAGAAACTCGTCTCAGAAAGACATGTATTCATATTCAGATCTGATTTCAGGAATAAATATTCCAGATCTAAATTAACTTTTTTTTATTTTTCATTTAAATGCACTGATAATAAACTATCAAGCGTATCTTTGTAGATGATACACTCAAGTGACATACTCATCATTTCGCCATTGACCTTCTTGTATTTGTCCATTAGCAAAAATTACTTTTCCATAACCGTGTTTTTTCCCATTGGCAAACTCTCCTTGATAATAAGTACCATTACTCCAAATCAGCAATCCTTTTCCATTTGTTTCATCATTATACCATTCACCCATGTATCTATCCCGATCAGTATAAAAGTAAATTCCATATGCATGTTTTTTATCATCCATGAAATTACCTTCATATCGAGTATTATCTGGCCAAATTCGTATACCTAGTCCATGTGCTTTGTCATCAACTATATTTCCTATATATTTATTTCCATGTTCATCATCATAAGCACGATACCAACGTTCTTTGCCCATCGTATCCTTCCATTCATACAATCCACCGGTTGACTGTATTATTAGACTTTGACTTTTTGGTAAATCATCAATCCAGTCACAAGCTTGTATTATTCCATTCTCGCCAAGAAGAATACCATGACCATGTCTATTACCATTTTCGTAGGTTCCAATAAAACGGTTGCCAGTTTCAAAAACACATATTCCTTCTCCATTTGCCTTTTGATCAGCATTTGGACCCGTAAATATGTTTCCGTCAATAGTACAAAGCTTTCCGTAACCATGCTTCTTATTATTTTGGTAAACTATTTCATATCGATCACCATTATAAAAAGTAACTACTGCATGAATCATATTTTCCTTTGATTTTGTTTCGTCTGAAAAGGATTTAATATTCATCATTTCTATGATTATTTTCTAGTCATCCGTACTTAAGAGTACTTCGTTTTTTATCTCATTAGTCGATATTAAAGATGTTGTTTTCGGATGCTGACCGTTGTCTATATCAAAGTTATTATATTAGATAGGAAAATAATTAAATTAATTAGAAATTCACTTATAACTTCCTCATTAAGAGAGTTGTTCATATCATGCCGTTCAACATTGTTGATGACTTCGTTGATTTCTTCTAAATATATGATCGGTTTATCTTGTTCATTATTCAATTGTTTGCATTTCACACGCAAACGTGTACCTGGAAGCAATAGTACTTCATCCTCATCGTTTTTAGATGTATAACCCTGAATATTCTTGCCACTGATTGATTTAATTGAACAAAGAACTGATTTATCATCAAGAAGATGTTCTATCATAGTACTTGATAATGAACATGAAATTACACTACATAATATCAAATCTTCATTTTCATTTAATTTTTCTGCAATTTCAATTGTTAAACCTCGCCATATTGTATTATGAATAGGTGATAATTTTTCCAGTGCTTTGTAGAATAATTTCAGAAAACTTAACCAAGGTTTTAAAGCTGCTTGATCTTCTGATTGTAATGTACTGTTCAAAATCCGATTTAAACTTCGATCATTCCAGTCATTTGTGTAGAGGTATAGAGCGACTGATTCATCTTCAGTGAGACCATGATTTGAAGGATAATGACGAGAGTGTTTAGCATCTTTAATATAATAATCCAATCGGTCAACGATAGACGAAACAGATTGAAGAGCTAAGTCTATGGACAAAAGTGATTCATCTTTCCAATCATCTATAGGTTGTATTTTTTTATCATTATATTCAAAACGAATAAATCGATTCATATTGTTGTTTAATATCTTACTATAATAATAATAATCACAATGTCTTCCTCGCGTTGTTATATTGTTGCTTCACTATAATAATATAAAAGAGTTGTTCTACCACCTTTCGAAGCTCTTTGCAAATAACATACGATAAGAGAAAACAAGTTCTTTCTTTCCAAAAAAAAGTCACAGATATGATAAATATTTTCTTTTCTCTTTAAGAACAACGCACATGTATTTGTTTCTAGTTCTTTTGTTCTTCACTAATGATACATACAAATAAGGCAAAACATGTACTCTTTAATCAATGAAGTCTGAAAATTACATTATTGAAAACTATTTCCGATTTGCTTGTTGTGTGAAAAAATAAAAATTGTGTAGCTTAGCAAGATGATTTTTGTAGGATTATGAAATTGTGCATTTCTTAGCCATTTCAATCAATGACGAATCATTGATGATAACAATCGACATCCATTCTTGAGATTTCTTTTAATTTTTATACTTGAATAAAAGAAACAGTAAAAGTTCATAAAAACATTTACGTTTCGTTATATTACAATGAATACAATCTCAAGATAGATATTTATCTTTCTCATATATTATTATTTTTATTATTATTATACTAAAATAAAATCTTGAGTGTTATTATCATATATAATTATTTGATGAATTTTTATTAATGTTTTTGATTATATTATGATAATTGCAATTTAATTTATAGATTTAATTTCAGGTTTATAATGTTATATATTAGTTAATGTTGTTATTTGTTTATGTTTGTCCAATCATTCACATATTTATTTTGATGTAATACTCATGTCTTGTTACTCCTTGTTGTAACATCCAGTGTTGATTTATTGGTTGATAATGAGCGTGTAGCGACAGAAAATTCCATTTATACTCATTTTCTTTCATAAATAAAACTCTTTATATATATATATATATATATCTTGTATTGATAGTGTAGTGTTCGTTCCCTTACCTGCTACTGGATAACTACAAACGTAAGAGGATAGGTGTGGATATCGGGAGGGGTAGTGTGCGTGTTGATTCTTATTTAACACTCGTACCTACACATCACATGCACTTCACATCCCACAAATAGATCTATACCCCACATCCACATACATCCTAATAGAAGGTCAGTCAACAGTTTTAGCAATACAGAAAAGCATGAGAATGACCGGAACATAGTTATACTCACATAGGATTATTCAATGAGGTCTGGTAAAAGCCCTAAGCCCACCAATCAACATATCTAGGTCAGGGCGGACAGTACTAGATACCGCGTAAATGTATCGCAAGGAAGGTAACAAGCTGCTGCAGATTGATCATTTATTCAACTAAGCGCGCTAGTACAGGAGTATGTTGTAGAAGAATGCTTCTGACTTAAATCAATATTCTTGGACTCACAGTCGGATACGTAAGAATAGAAAAAGAGCGCCGAAGGCGAATCATCAAAATATTTTCACGAC